CGTGAGGCCGGTGAGGCCGTGTGACCGTGTCTCCGCCGCTCCTCCTGCTCGCGGTGAGATGGGGAAGGAGCTGGAGGCGGTTCCCACCCGCTCTCCAGTTTGCTCAGGTAGGAGAAAGCCACGGAGCAGAGGCTTCTTTATCTGTAGGGGTGACCGGGGCTAGTTGTCACACTTTTTACTCCCATTGATATATCTCAGGTCTCGAGTCACTTTCTGCGTACACACGAACATTAAAGTCTCAAGTGCACACAAAAAAATTAACATTTTACAGGAGGAAAGATCATTGAAGGCTGTATAGCACTGTGTTGTCTATAGCGGGGCATGTTGTCACACTCTGTATGGGGTAAGTTGTCAACAGGCGGCTGTTTATTGACAACTAATTTGAGAACAATAGCTTTACTGAACTGTAATCTGCTGTCCTAAGTTAAAAAAAAGCCATGTTTTACAGTATATGTATTTACATTTAAAACATGTGACAACTTGCCCCAGTCTGATAAAGTGTTTCACATTTCAGTTAAAATCTGCTCTTCTGAATGTATGTCAGAGTGGTTTTATAATGCTCAATGTGTTAAATGTGATATTTGACATTTTAGTTTGGATGACCTTTTTAGTTTGACCATTTGCACAATTGAACTTTTGACTCAAAACCTTATGGTTATTAAGGTAAAGCCCGTTTTCAAGTCAAGTCAAGTCTGCTTTATTGACTTGACTTGACTTTATTGTCTTGACTTTCTTGGTTACAACTGAATTACTACGTTTTAAATTAATTTCTGTTGACTTTCAAATAAAAAAAGTAGCTCAAGGATTCATTCCTTTTCAAAACAACCAATCTGTCAGTTCTTTCGCAATATAAAAATCACGTTCCTCTTTAAGTCATGAAAGCATGAGTAACATGCGCCATCACCCCTGCTATTACGAAGCGAAATCTAGTAGGCTACTCATACAGCAGTAATACTGAGATGCAGGACATTCCTGCTGCATGTGATCTACATGTGTATTTACAATGTGGATGTCTAGGTGTGTGATGCAAATGCAAATTATTCTCAATGCAGGGTGAACCCAGAGCTGATCATTTGCATGCACTTGAGCTGTCAGAATGGCTCTTATTTTGTTTTGCATATCAAAGAATAATGTTTAGGCACAATTTCACAGTGGACGTTGATAAGACGAACGTGGTTTCTGTTTATAGATATATAGAGACACTGATTTGTTTGTGTTGAGTGTCTTGTATTGTGTGGCGGTCTATCTTATTATATAGATTTTTTTTTTTTCTATTCAGACCCTTGATTTTGCTGTTAGTCAAAGGTTTTGTCTTCCAGTATTTAGATGGCTCATATATGTTTTCATTCATAACTATACACCTTACCTCTTCTTCTGGCATTACACAAGCCATTTTTGACCCACATGTACAGAATCAATCCTATTCCCTGTGCAAATTTATCATTTAGAGGCCAGAAATTATGCCATCCGTCCTGCCCACCCCTTCTCTCCGTCAGAAGTCTTTGTGTCCACTGGCATCTGTGTGTCGCGCCTGGCTCAGTGGCTCAATGACTGTGCTCTATGGTGAGAAAGACCGGCTCAGCGTGTGTCGGAGGTAAATAAACGGATGATCGGCTGGAACTGGTGCCGGCAGGAGAAGAATAAAGAGTGCTCTCTGTCTTGTCCTCCCTCTGCTCACAGGCCAGAGATCTTTAAGAGCATCAGCCTGTATTTACTTACCAGAGACTGAATTATTGGCAGGTGTTAAAGGGAGTGCTGTGTTTGCGTGCAGCTTGTCATTTGGCATGTGTGTAATGTAAATGTCGCTAGTCTTTTGAGGTGTGAGTGTGTCTTCTGCTTGTGTTT